TGCATGTAGTCTCCTACTGGATTGATACCTTGGTTCTCAAAAACTGAGGGAAATACTTGCGCTACTTTGCTGCATCACAATTTCCTCTTCAAGGGAAAACCAACGCATGCTCAAGAGGTGGCAGGGGTGTATGTGATAGCCTGGCTTATTAGGGATGATAGACTACTCATATCAATAAGGAATTCCTTCTTTTCCAGGAGCCCATTCAGAAAGAACTCCAAAGTTAAGCGTGCTCATCTTGGAGTAGTTTCAGCATGGGTGACCGACTGAGAAGTTGCTCCCTGGTGCGCACGAGTGAGGACAAAGTGCGCAGAAAAGACTAGTATTGATCTATGGGGCCAATCTAGATCCCACCAGGAGTAACGACGACCGGTGGGTCTGTCCGGGGTGTTACAGGTGGCTTCAGCGACGAGCCTCTCATGGCAGCTCTCTGCCACCTGCTTGACAACAAGGCCTAGGGTGTTGGGTTCGTTGCCATGGCAGACGCTCACAGGATGCCCTGGCTCAGGAGCTGGCTGGGCAAGCACTACTACTAGAGTAGTGCTGCCTGTGAGCATGCATGATCCCCGACGGCGATGGCGGTGGCGGCGAAGACGACGACGATGACGACATACATTTTGTGTAGCTAGGGCTGGAAAACTATTTGATGGTTTGTATATCTTGGTGAGATGGTACATACTAACCCCTCTCGATGATGGTGAACTTGCGGTGCTAGGACGACACCGTCTTTTAGATGTGGTGGTAGGATAACACCATGGTAGTGCTAGGTTGACCTTTCTATGCCATATGATCATGCATGCTTTACTTCTTCTCTTGTGCTCCATTGTTGTTTGTGTGCTACTTTGCTTCCTACTTGTGTGCTCCATTGATTTGCTGCTTCAACTCTTGCTCTTGTGCATTGCTAGGGCAAGTGGTATGTCGTGTTCATCGGTAAGTCTCCAGGGGTTTACAGTTCATGGGAAGAAGCCAGTGCACAAGTGGCATCATATAGCAACAACAGCCATAGAGAGTTCAAGACTAGGCAAGCAGCAGAACAAGCTTACTCCGACTAGGTGCGAAAGCACAGAGGCAGCAGTGTTGACAGTGGCAAGGTTGGAGGTGTCAAAGTTGAAGATGCTAAGGTGGATCGTCAATTTGGGCTGAAGCTGGAGAACTTCATCATCCGCCCAATTCATCGCCATTGTTGTGTTGTGGCACTGGTGTGCTAGGTGTGATCATTGTGGGTAAGCTCACCAACTAGGGTACAAGGTAAGCACACCATGTATGTTGTATGCACCAAACATCTTGTTCATGTGCTGCTTGGGCCAATGCAGGCAACCAAACAAAGTGCACTTGCGTATTACCTTATGTAGGGACCCTAGATGCAGGCAACCAAACAACTTGCATATGCCGCATGTGAGGTTGTTTTTCCAAAGCCAGGCTGGGTTGAGATGTGTATGCAACGCAGCTACTATTCACAACTGCAACCAAACACGCCCTAACCAGCACCCAACGTCCTCCCAAACATGAAATTGAATAGGAAGAAAACTAAGGGAGACGAAGCAAACAAGAACAGAGAAAACCACACCACAATAGAGAAGTGGCAGCGCCGCCGTCGTGCTCATCAACAGCACGCCGACACGACGGGATGTGAGGAGCTCTCTCCACACGCTTCTTCCCTGCAGCGTGGCGGCGAGGTGCCGGCCAAACGAAGATGGTGACCACACATGCCGCAACGAGATCGTGGAGCATCGGATTTGTGCCTGGGAAGATGTGGACACGTTGAAACTCTTTCTCCATGCCTCTCAGAGCTCACAAATCTGACGACAGACCCTATCACCATGCCGCGCGGATGCCTCGCTTCCCCAAACCGCCTTTCATCTCTCTCTCGTCTCTCCATGCATGCGGGGCCGAGATATCGACACGGAGGCCATTGCTCCACCAATTAGCATGTGGGGTCCATCACAAATCGACCGACCTCAAACTACCCACAGTGGGAGTAACATACGTGGTAAGAGCATCTCCAGCCGCGCCCCCAACACGCCCCCAGGTGATTTTTTCGCGCCGGCGCCCAAAAATCGGTCCAGTCGCGCCCCCAGGAGCCCCTTTTTCGCCGATTTGGGCCGAAATTGGCGCCGATAGACCAAGGACGAACCCGGCACGCTGGGGGCGCCCGGGGGCGCCGGGCGAGCGATTTTGGCGCGAACTAACTGCGGGCCTGCCGAGTCAGTGACACTCGCCTCGTCGTCCTCACAACGTCTTAGTTTCCCATGGGGAATCAATGCCAAGGCTGCCGCCGGTCAGCCTTCCATTGATTCCTCACGGGCAGCGCGGTGACGCCCTCTCTCCTGCCACACGTACACACGGCGCCGGGCGGCTATAAAACCAACACCTCCCCCTCACCTCTGGCCACACCCCGCCGTGCTCTGCCTCTCTCTCCCCGTGCGCAGCCGACGTCGACGATCCTCCCCTCTCTCCCAAGCCCAGCCGTGACGATGGGCGAGCGATTCCCCGGTGATGCGGCGGCGGCCAACGGCTTTGGCCGCCGCTCGCTGCACGGGTGGGAGGCGTATTTTCTCTTCGAGGCCAACATCCCGGCGCCTCCCAACATGCGCGCAGGGCCAGGCGGGTGGAGGCTCAGCGCCGGTGGCGTCCCCATTCCCCCGCTGCCCGACGTCAACGTGCGAGCCGACTACTTCGCCGACGAGCTCGACCGCGTGCGGGCATCGCTGACGGAGGAGCAATGCGCCCTCCCGCAGTACGCCGCCGACAACCATGAGGCGTGGGCGGCGTACTTCCAACACCGGCAGGCGCAGCGGCTGGCCTCCACCAATGGGGCGCCAGTGGTGGAGGGCACCAAGAACAACGAGGGGCGCCGCCTGTGGTGGGGCGCCACGGCCGCACACTCCATGAGGTTCTCCGGCACCTTGAGGGCGGCAAGACCCGCCGTTGACATACCCTACCGCGGCCGCCGCCCCGGTCCCACGCTGGAGCGCGGGGCAATGGATGCCTAGGAGGTTCGGCTTCTCCTCGTATTCCTCCTCCCGCTCCTCCTCCCACTCTTTCGACTCGCCGGCGGTGTTCGGCATCAAGGCCGAGCAAGCAGCAGAGACACCGCTCGGCTGGCGCACCCACAGCGCCGGCATTGTCATCAACGAGGGCGGTAGGCGCACCTCCTCCTCAGCTCCTCCCCGCTACGTCAAGCCGACGACGGAGCCGGGGCTCGCCGCCGTGAAGACGGAGCCAGGGCTCGCCAGCGGCGTGAAGGAGGAGCTCGACGATGTGGTGGCCTTGAAGTGGGCGCGCGAAGACTGGGCGCGGACGGAGCTGGAGCGCTAGTCCCGCGCCTACGAGCAGTTCACCGCTTGACGACGTGGCCGCGACAAGGGACGCGTCGTCGTCCTCAACGACGACAGCGACGACGAAGCGCCGCCGCCACCAGTTCGCCAGGGCGACGCCGGGCAGGGGTCGAGCAGGGGCGGCCGCGTCAAGGAGGAGAAGGACGACGGCGAGGATGGCGGCGACGTCAGCGACTTTGCCGCGCTCAGCGCGTTCTTCGGCCCGTAGTTGTAGTTGCGGCCCTTTTTTAAGTACTTCACTTTGCCATGTAAAATACAATATAGGTCGTTTAAGTAATGTCATGTTCGCCGAATTTTAGCCGAATCTTTGTCCCGTTTGCCGAACTTTAGCCGAATTCCTTTTAACAAAAAAACCCTCACCTTCTGGGGGCGACCCTGGGGCCGGCGGCTGGGAACCCAAAAGCCCCACGCCGATTTTAGCGCCGGTTCGCCTCCAGACGACGCTTTTACGCGCAACGGCTGGAGATGCTCTAACATCACACATCTTTAGGCAAAACAGATGATGCGGCGAGTAATTAATGAGGAAAAATGACATGTGGTAACATAGCTAGTTACTGTAACATCACACATACCAAGACAAGATAAGTCTATAACCTAATAAATGAAGTTTTGCATGACACCGCACATATGTTACTCATCACTAGAGGTAGTAACATTACTAGTCTAAGTTGCTACCCATTGTGACTAATCTGAATCGCGAGCCCACCCTGCGGTGATTTTTCCGCACGATCCCAGACGCCGACCGGGTTGAAATCGATTGCTACAGTCGATGTCAGTAGCCTCAATCGATTCTCCGCCCTTTAAAATTAAAATGAGGGAGCTTAGTGCTTTTTTTTTCGGGGTAGGGAGCTTAGTGCTATAGAGTCGTTGACCATTGATTGATTATGATACTGAACGCAGAAAAATGATGTGAGCAGGACAGAAGATCGAGGCATAACCCCGGGGGGAGCACCGAAATGGACTCGCAACGCGACAACTCAGACACTGACAAGAGTGACAACCCAGATTCCAAACCGAGCAGGAGCAGAGCATCATCTTCCAAATGAGCACGCAAGCATTCACATTTCTCCAACAAACTAGCAACGATGGAAGCTTTGACTACCAAAGGGCTGATAAGAAAACGTGCATTTCTTGTTGTATCTGGATGGTTGTAACATTTTTATGTATGATTTATTTGTAGAGGCTATTGGTTTTCTACTACTTAACAATTTATCTGTACCTACACCGGTTGTCCTGACGATGTGCTGCTGTAAGTGGTTAACACTGCTGTGTACAGTACAGTTGTAGGATCATTAGTGGCACTCTTGTGTGTGAATTTAATGCAAAGTTGTTGTCCGTCCTTTTTTCAAATAGCCCTCCCAAATTGCTGGCATTTCACGGAAGGCAAAGAGGGACCAAGCAAGAAGCACATCGTCCATTGCTTTGCTCACTAGGAGAGGTCGAGAGGCCACCATGCCTGCCTGCCTGCCTGCCCAACGTACAACAGCGCGAGCCCCCGCCAAGGGAGGAAGAAAATGAGATCCCACCACACCACACCACACCACACCAAACCTCACCTCACCACACATGTTGACATGTACAACACCAGCCCGCAAAATCCAGGGCAAAACGCCATAAGCATCACCAGATCGTCGCAATCGTGCGCATGCAGTCGGTTGGAGATCACTCGACGGCTACGCCAGAGGCCGAGCCGGCAGGTCGGTTGCTTGTCCGGGTGTTCAGCAGCGGGGCCAGAGCCTTGACGACGATGCTCATGTTTGGCCGGAAATCTGCCTCGTACTGTACGCACAGGGCAGCCACGGCAGCCATCTGTTTGCCACAACATATGGTCAGTCTCACTCTCACTGCTAATTACTCCCTCTGTCCCATAATGTAAGACTTTCGACATAATGTAGTGTCAAAAAACATCTTACATTATGGGACGGAGGGAGTACAACATACTACCTCCGTTTTCTAGATGTAAGACGTTTTGACAGTTTAATTGGGTGTACTACTTTGTCAACCACAAGAGAAAGGTTCCTTGTCATAACAATAATCAATGTGCATTACGGTGAATATGGAACAAAATAATGCGTTTCAGGTCTACTTCCAGCATAACAAAGCTTTCTTGTGGTTTCACAAGGACATGTGTTTTAAACAAGCTTCTCTGTGTACGATGTAACTGGAACAAAATTATATTTAACAACAGCTGCAAACTATAGTTAAACAACAAAGTTTGCATTGCTTGATATACATATAGTATCATCGTGTTCTTAATTTTTTCTTTTGTTTTTACCTTGGCGACAGCCTTTGGAGGGTAATCCACACCAAGCTTTGGATCTACACATTGCCGCACCTTGTCTTCACTTAGCCTTGGTGTAGCCTGCACATACCAAACACTTGATTTTATTTTCCATCTTGTCAGAAACCAGTGTAGAATCTGAAAAAGGCTCCATACCCATGTCACAAGGCTCTGCTGGCCACGGGGAAGTGTATGATCAACTGGTTTGCAGCCAGTTAAAAGCTCCAACAACACCACTCCAAAGCTATATACATCGCTCTTTGCGCTTAGCTGCCCAGTCATTGCATACCTGAGAAGTAAACGACATGTATAAGAGGACATGTCAATTTGCCCATCTCAATCTATAAGCACTCAAACTATTTGACTGCATACTCAGGAGCATGATAACCAAAGGTGCCAAGAACACGTGTAGAATGAAGGCGTGCAGCCATGTCAGGGGCCTGATTAGACACATCGAAATCTCCTATTTTTGCAACATCGTTGTCAAAGAGCAGTATGTTGCTGGACTTGATATCACGGTGGACGACACGTGGCTCTGCCTTCTCATGGAGGAATTCAAGCCCTCTCGCGGCGCTTACAGCAATCCTCGCCCGCTGCATCCACGATAGGACTGGTCCTGGTTGGGATCCCTTGACGCCCTTTTTACCTGTAATGACCACGAGCCGTAGATTCATCAGCTTTGCTAGAGTCTTGAATGGCTCTATATTACTGACAGAAATGAGGTCAGCTATAAATGGTATCTGATCCCATCGTGAGTATTGTTACTCAATAGGGGCTGAAATCTTCTTTAATAAATGCATCAAGCTAAAAGGCCCAAACAAACATGCCCTAATAATTTACGAAATTAGAAGTCTTAAATTGTTCCTCACCATGGAGAACATCATGCAAGGAGCCCCTTGTTGCATACTCATAAGCAAGAATACGGGTGCTCCCTAAAGCACAGTACCCGAGAAGTTGGATGACATTGTCATGCTTGAGTCTTGAAACAGCCGAGACCTGCAAAAGAAATGGAAGTCAAACGGCAGCCCGTAGGGGGCACCTACATGAAGAGAGATTATCTTGGAAGGAAAGAGGCCTTGAACCTGCACAAGGAATTCTTGGTCAGGCTGTTTGCTGGAGTCAAGCCTCTTCACTGCAGATTTCTTGCCATCCTTCAGTACACCAAGGAAAACTCTTGCGTATGAACCCTCTCCTATAAGAGCGTCACTGCTGAAGTTCTTGGTTATTTCCTTAATTTCGTCTAGGGAAATGGCTGGTACTTCAATTGGCTGGCTTCTACTGGTACGGATGGCATGGGTTGGCGCTGGCCCCCGGTTATAACCATAGTTACCCCCTGCATTCAAAATAAATAGGTAATAAATTAAAGTACTCAGGAAAGTATTGCTTTCAGTGGTGCCATTTGGTGCAGAAGATGCACATTTTAACAAACAAGGTGCACTTTCAAAATTTGTTGATTCACAGATGTTTAGATTTGTATCGTATAAAAAAAGGGGGCAGCTCAGTGCACGTTGTTGTTCCCACTTGGGTTCCGGGCCAGGGTCGGTCCATTGCAGCCATGGACAACTAAGATGCAAAGCTCTCCCAAATCTATCAAGTTCGGCAATTCCGAGTCCCCCCAACTTCTTTGAGCGACATACAGTTTTCCAGTTAACCAAGGTGTGTCCACCCGAAGCCTTCTCTTGGTCGTCTTTCTGCCATATGAAACTTCCTGTGATCTTGTCAACTTTGCTCCAGAAGCACTTGGGAGTGTACAAAATTATGTAGCTAGTTGAGTGTATCAAGCACCCTTGGTAAGCATTTGTTCTGCTATCGCTTGCAGGCAAATTTACGGGTAGCAGGTTTTACAAAATTCAACAAAATTTACAGCTGAAATCCTATACTGAATCTGGTTCAACCTGTCAGTTTGTGGATTTGCGTTGGTAAATGCGATGCATAATGTCAATATTTTCACAGTTGCATGGCCAAAAGTGGAATTATTAGTTTTCTGGAGACAGCTAAATAAACTAGCTGGAAGCTGCTAATTGTATTTATTATGGGAAAGAATTGTTTGCACATTTAGAGTTACATCATGCATCTGCCCATAGGACGATGAATAAGACACTATTCCTTTCCATTGCTCAATTAGCTCTACACTTAACTATCAAATCTACAATCGAAGAACCAAATTGGATTCATAGTGAGAATCACTACAGAGCAATCTTTGCGACCATGAGAAATATGTGATGAAGCCAAGATGGGAGTAAGTAACAACCTGGGGCAGGGACCGGAACATAAGGATCATCGCGCTTCTTTTTCTTGCCAACATCATCGGCTCCGCAGCAGGAAAAGCATCCCATCGCTTCCTAAAATTCAACAAAAAAAAAGAAATTCAACAAAACGGATGTGCGAAATAGATTGCGTGAATCCGGCATTAGATCCTTCCAGCCAAGCAAAACATATTGGTATTGCTTCCAGAACGGAATTTATTTTCTTCACTCTTGTCCTAGGGGGGAAAAAGACGAATAGAGAAATCGCCATCCATCAATGGTGTAAATATGAACGCTGGCAGCATTTGCGATGGGATGAATGATCATCATACTAAAAAAGATGAATGATGAAACCGGTAAACAAAAATTGGACCCGTTCTTGGGGATTTAGGAGTATTTGTTTGCGCCGTTTCACAAACCCGACGTTTATATCATCTCATTATTTGTGTTGGCCGTCCACATCATGGGCTGATCGCGCAAGCAAAAATTGGCACATTCGAGAAAGAAAAAAACAAACAAATCCTGAATCGAAGGGCAGTGGTGCATGAGATGGGAGACGAAAAAGAATCCACCGGCACGAGCACGCGAGCAAAAGAAGGAGAAGAGCGGAGGCGGGTACCTTTCCTTCCTCCTTTCTTCTTGATCTAATCGGAAGTTCAGGAGCAATGCGAAGGGGGTGGAGAGGAGAGGAGACGGGACGAGGAACACGACGCGGTCTTCCTCGCCCTTCCCCTTCCCCAGTTGGTTGCTGCGTACAGATCACTGAATGTACCTGCAGCATAGTTACCTGAATATTTGTTCTATTTAATTAAAGTGCAGGGTGTTCCTTGGAAAAAAAGAGCAAACACAGCTCACAGCGCGCCCGCAGCCAATGACGTGTGGGCTAGCGACACACTGGTATGCCACGCATGCACTGCATCAATGGAATACGAGCGAAGGCAACGTATATGCATCATTTGGACAAGTTATGGCACCACTTTTATGTATTTTACAATTTTAGGTACTAAACTGAACGCGCGGAACAAGTTATGACATTCAGAGGGCCCAGGCGGGATAACGAATGCAAGGGCGGTCCTAATTCTTTTCTAAAAGTGTTGATTGGGTCCCAAATCTTTTTAAGTTGTTCATCCAAGGTCCTAATCTCGTCTGCACCCCGCTAACCAGCTTACGTGGCGCTTTGACCAGGCCACGTCGACAGCAGAGGGCCCAGGTGGGATAACGACCGGCCGTGAATATTTGTAGAAAAACCCTCTAACCCTAATTCCCTTTCATTCGTGGCCCGTTCCTCTTCCCCACCCCTCTCCTTTCCCTCTCTGGCAAAAACAGGGCGATTGACGGCGCTGCTCCGGTGAGAAGAGGGGCCGTTGCCGGCTGTCGTCCGGCGACGGCAGCGCTAGGATGGCGCCACATCTGCGGCGACCCGGAGATCCTCCTCCGTGATATGGTAAGTGCTCGTAACCCTAATCCCAATCCTACTGTTTCGTCCCCCTTCTTCTCATTTAGGCTGAATCAATGACCGAATCCCTTGCAATCTAGGACCACAAGAGGAGCTTTTCAGTCTAGAAATAAACTATGATGTTTTTTGCGGATTTGGCAAGTCCAAGTCATATGTTGATGGCAAAGATGATGTGTTTGATGGATGTGAAGTAGATACATGGTCTCCTCTCTGGCTCACTGATTTTATGCAACAATTAGGATATAGTGACCAATCGAACTTCACTTTGTATTGGTTGCTCCCTGGAAAGAATCTAGCTGATGGTCTTCGGATTGTGGACTGCGACACTGACACATTGCACATGACAGCAATTGTCCCAAAAATTTAGTATTTCCAGTTGTTTGTCAACCATAAAGATATGACATTTGACAATGTAATTGGTGACATTCATGTTAGTGGTACACCTGATCTTCCTCCTGTACTAAGCCCTAAGTCTCCTCAATTTAATACTGGAATTAGGGGCAGTCCTAGGTTTAATGTTAAAGCTCGGAAAGGCAATCTCAACCAATGTCATGCAGGAAGCAACAATGTAGGCAGTAGCAGTGTTCCACCAATGGCACAAAGTGTTAGCCATGAGCTCAGAAGAAGCAGGAGAAAGCTTGTGGTACAAGAAGAAATTCCCAATGAAAAAGACAGTGATAGTGATGACAGTGAGTGGGATTCAGATTGGGTTGACTCTGACAATGAAGTAGGTAAAGATGATGACCCTTATGAGGAATGGGTGGATCACAAATTTGAGCAGAAGAAAAGGAAGAAATCCAAATGGGAGCAGGACAGTGACTATGAATCTGATGAGTTGCAAGAGTTGGAAGATTCGGAGCTTGAAGAGAGTGATTCGACAGAGGAAGTGGAACTAGTTGATGCTCAAGGAAGGAAAAAAAGGAAGAAGAAAGTGAAGCTCAAAAGGTGGAGGCCAGAGAACATGGAAGAAGTGAAATTTCACATAGACATGGTGGTCTTGACTGTGACTGAACTGAGGAAAGCAATTCAAGAGTACATTGTGGAACAAAGAGTGCAAATACAGTACATAAAAAATGATAAGCAGAGGGTAAGGGCATGTGTTGGTGATTGTCCCTGGTTCTTATTTGCTGCACCTAATAGCAGGACAAAATCTTGAGTTGTGAAGAAGTGTGTGGGAAAACATACATATGAAGAGAGTGGGCACTGAAGCAATTCACAACAAGATATCTGGCTACCAATTATGTGGAGACATTTAGAGCAGATGAGAAGATGTCCTTACAGAACTTTGCCAGGCTTGTTGAGGTGGACTACAATATGCTTCCGACTAGAAGCAAGCTAGCAAGAGCAAGAAAAAATGCACTAAAGCAAATAAATGGAGATGAACTAGAACAATACAATTTACTTTGGGACTTTGCAGCTGAAGTTAGAAGGTCAAATCCTGGAAGTACATTGTTTTTGTGAATGCAAAAGATGGAGTTTCTAAGAACTGTTACATGTCATTGGATGGATGCAAGAGAGGTTTCTTATTTGCTTGCATTCCAATTATATGCATTGATGGGTGCCACATTAAGAACAACTATGGTGGAGTGATGTTGACAGCTGTTGGAGTTGATCCCAATGATTGTATCTTTCCCATTGCAATTGCCATAGTTGAAGTGGAAGATACTGATACATGGAAGTGAACATACATAAGGAAGAGTGCTCATGTAGGGTCTGGCAGCTCCCTAGAATTCCATGTAGACATGAAGTGGCATGTCTAAGGTATGAGAGGATTAAGCCAGAAGATGTGGTAAACAAGTGCTACAACATTCAGGCTTTCAAAGATGCTTATAGTAAAATCATAATGCCATGCAGTGATCCCAGAGTGTGGCCAAAAACAAATGGCCCTCCAATGGCACCACCCAAATATGAGAAGCAAGTTGGCAGGTCTGTGGAAAAAGGAAGAAGAACCCACTAGAGGAAGAACATGGTACTAGGATGAGCAGCCACGACATTGTTGGGCATTGTAGTGTGTGCCAGTAACTAGGGCACAACAAAATAAAATGCCCTGAACTTGGTAGGGGCCCAGCAACACAAGATGCACTAGAAGCAGCAACATGAGATGCACCGGATGTACCATAATATGCACCAGAAGCAGCAACATGAGATGCACCAGCGGAAGCAGCAACAGGAGGTGCACCTGAAGCAACATAAGAGGCATAGCCAGAACCTATTTAGATTGTTCTTCCCAAAGAAGCAGCAGAAGCACAACCAGCACCTAGCCAGAGAAAGAAACTTCCAATAAAAAAGCCTACTTGCAAGGTTTTCATTTTTTCAAAATTTCTGCATTTGTACATTCTTTCAAAATTTATGCATTTTTACAGTGTAACACATATTATGCAGAAAAAGTCATGCCCACAACTTGGGAAAAGAGCATCCAATTTGGTTTCACCTTCAGTGACTTATGATCTTGATTCGTCTACTATCATTGAAATTTTGCAATACCAGGTGAGTGTTGCAGTGTTAATTACCTAAATGCTACTATGTACTTTCCTGCTAATTACTAAGTGATGCACATGCTTCAATTGTATGTTATAGCTACACAACAATCACAGACATCATTGCCAGCTCCTTTGCCAGATTGCTAGTTCATTGCGGCCTGTAGAGATGCCCTACCCCCTCCAAGAGTGCAAACTACTGCAACACTTGGCTTGAAGAGAAGGAAGAAAGTGCCAAAAACCAAGGAAAAGAAAGCCCCAACAAAGGCTAAGCAGTGAAGTTGATATAATACAGTGAAGTGAAGTGTTTCTTTTTTGACAGAAGCAAACGGTGGACATATTTTGGACAGAAGCAATAGTTGGACATATTTTGGAGAGAACCATGTTGCTCTTCTCTTGATAGGATAGTAGATGGTTTGTAGTGAAACCTAATGTTGTCTTGTTGTTGTAGGTTTCACACAAACCATGAAACTATGTAACATCTGCACCTTATGATGTGCACCTTAAAACCTTATGACTCGTGTGGCTAAGTTTATGTCTTCTTTCAAGTTTCCAAGATTTCTCACCTTATTATTGGTCATTGTTTCAAGCACATTTAAGAACAACATGCTGCAAAAATTTCTGGAAAAAAATAACAAAATGTTGTCAAAATTTCTGAAAAACAAACAAATCTTTGCCAATTACTGCACTGCCAACATTTCATTAATTTCCATTACAAAAACACTTGTCATACATCCATGGCATACATCAAACCAGCGCTGATTTCTCATTTCTAACCAACTACATAATTGCATTCTCATTTCTTAAAGAACTACAAACACCATGATTGCAATCCCGATCACAAGTGCAATGAAAATAATCCTACAGAGAAATACCAGCTCTTCCATCTTCTTCAATACATCTGCCATCATCACACAACCAGTGTTGTTATGATTCATTACTCCACACTCTTCTTTCCCATTGGTTTCTTCGTTAGCATTCACAATAGTTGAATATGCACTACCAATTGTAGGGGTAGTGTGCCCATTACTGACAAAGAAATCCATGTATGTTGGCAAGGATTTGGTCCAACCTATAGCCCAAAATCAATCAGATGTGGTAAGCATAGGAGTGCATTCCATATGCAAAAAAGCAAAAGGAAATAAAGGATAAACAAG